ACCGTGATGACAGAACTATCCATATTATGTGTTGTCCAGTACAGCAGCCACTATCCACATGTGGCTCTGGAGCACTTGAATGTGGCTAGTATGACTAAAAAACTAAATCTTTAACTTAATTAATTTACATTTAAATAGCCAATATAGTGTGCGGGAACAGTATAGCAGTCTAAGAAATTGCTATAAAAAATTTAAGGTACTATAATGTAAGAAGAAATCCAAATTTCCAATCTGCAGGCTGTACTTCCATATCAGAAAGTTCAATACGAAAGACCGGAAGTTTGGTGGAAACAACTGAGATTCACATTTCTTAAAGCAAAAGTGAAAATCAGACATTTCCCACTCTTCTGTTGATAAGATAGACTTTAATGAAAACCGTTCAGCGGTGAAAGCCACAATGCTGGGACACATCCCCAGTTTGGAGGAATGGAATGGAAGGCCAGTGAGTGAAAGCAAGACACTTCCCTCTAGCTACGGGAACTACAGTTTAAGGACCACTCTGAGACTTTCCCATCTTCATTGGTCTCTGTGGTATTTTAATACAAGTGACAGAATCTAGCTCTGGCCCCAGACCCTACAGCCACCGTGATGTTGATGCCTAAGAAGAACCGGATTGCCATTTATGAACTCCTTTTTAAGGAGGGAGTCATGGTGGCCAAGAAGGGTATCTCCATGCCTAAGCATCCGGAGCTGGCAGACAAGAACGTGCCCAACCTTCAGGTCATAAAGGCCATGCAATCTCTCAAGTCCCGAGGCTACGTGAAGGAACAGTTTGCCTGGAGACATTTGTACTGGTACCTTACCAAGGAGAGTGTCCAGTATCTCTGTGATTACCTTCATCTGCCACCGAAGATTGTGACTGCCACCATACACTGCAGCCATCCAGAGACCGGCAGGAGGGTGAGTGACTTGCAAGACTCACAAGAGGAGAAGCTGACAGAGATACCTACAGACAGAGCGCTATGCCTGCTAGTACACAAGAAAGCCAAGGCTGGGGCTGGGTGAGCAACTGAATTCCAGTTAGAAGTGAGCAACCGAATTCCATGGTCAGCCACCTCAGTAAAATTGGAGAGGATTATTTTGCATTGAATAATAAGTTTACTCAATGTTTAGCCAAAAAGAACTTAAAAAAAAAAAAAAGTGATACTGAATCACCCAATGGGAACAGTATTCTGGGTTTACTGACTGCAGGAACAGAAAAATGGGCTGGACCAATCAGCTTTGGAAAAACCTTTACTAGATGGCCTTAGACAAGGCCATAGTAGAGCGCAGTCCTGTCTGGAATGGCCAAGCAGGGAGACAGAGCCTGGGGCAGGTGTCCTCCTAGCTGGTGCCACAATATCCTAACTGCAGGCAGAGCTGCTGAGAAAACACTGCAGGCAGAAGACTCCGCGTTTCTTCATCTTCTTTGGTCCTACCTCGTCTACTCCACTGTCTTCCCTCTCCTGGATACCACAATAGCTTCCTAGTTGGTCTCTCTGTTTCCAGTCTTAGCTTCCTACAGTTTATCCTCCACACAGATGCCAGAGTGACCTTTTAAAATCAGATAAGCTCATTCCTCTGCTTAAGATCTTCCAGTGGCTCCTGCTCAAAATGAAATTCAAACTCCCCACCATGGCCTACAGGGTCCTGTTCACCTTCTTCACTTCTCTTCCCACTGTCCCCTTGCTCATTCCATTCCAGCTACTCCAACCTCTTTGATTTGTTCTTCAGACAAATCAAGCTTCTTCTCCACTCAAGAACTGAGTTGAAGGGTTTTACACTATCTCATTTTGTCTTCACAATCATCTTGAGGTTTAAAGGAGGTAAATCCTAGACACATAGTTACAATGATGAAGGTAGAATCTGAATTCAGGGAAGTGACTGCTGAACTCACAGGCTTTCCCTTCACAGGACATCCAGATGCAGCGTCTGTTTAACTTTCCCACTCCTACACAGGAAATCATGCCTCTCCTGAGGCAAACCCTTCCGTTATCAAGGTAAATTTTCACTGGACATGCCCCTCAACCCCAGTCAAAGTTGAATGTCACACCAACACTGTCTGCAATACTCAGAACACATGCTAACCATGAATTTCTACTTGGGCACATGATGCCTCTAAGCCATTGATTTTCTAGGGTCGTTTAAAAGTTTAATTACATTTAAAACACAATTACAGTATGAGAATCAAGTTGCTTTCATTTTTGTTTCAGAGCCTTATTTCACATTTATGTTAATAGCATTTCAAACCTATTTTCTATGACTTCTCTCCTGGCCATATATGCTACAGTAACATAATGAAATCTGTACCAGTTTGTGACATGGTTGGTATTTTACAAGAGGCCATCAAAGCATATAAGAGCTGAGTTTTATATTATGGAGGGGGACTGCTCATGTCTGCCTGCAAAATTACCTCAGTGAGAATACCTTATTGCAAAATACATTTTACTTTATGTAAAGTTGGGCTTACCAACTGCCTGATCAAGTCAATTTCTATAATTGTTTCAGGCCTCAGCTTCCCCATCTATAAAATGGGGATGATAATAGATACTTTCTCATAGAGTTGTTTTGAGGATTCTGGGAGATTATACTTGTTATCTACTTAGCACAGTAAATGCCTGGCACACAGTAAGTGCTAGTTTACACAGTCAGTGGGAGCTACTTTCAAAAATTCATAAATCCTCCAGTGGTACAATGTGACTTAATGAAGCTCTCAGTGAACCAATGTATTCAATTACTAAACAACTTCCCAACAATGAAAAAGTGAAGTAACAGTCAATTCTATGCTGACTGGAAAGACGACTAACTTTAGTTGACTCTAAATCAGTTAAAAAAAAAAATGGCTGTCTTTAAACTTGGCCTCTTATCTTGACTCAGCATAATCTATGTCATTACTAACCAGCATGGACATTTTATTGACCCTTGGTTACTATTTAGATTCCTTCCCCCCATGAATTCTCTATTCTTAGACTGCCTTTAGAGGTGGTTTCAACCCAGGAACATTAAGTGGGCTTTTTTTTTCCTTGTTCCTTTCCTAATGTGCATAGAGTAGTCAAAGCACTATCTTTGATCTTCTGTTTCCCACTGGGAATTTATGAAGGCACAAGCAACTAAAAGCTTCTAAAAGTCATTACAACAGGCCTTCAACTGAAAACAGCCTTAATTATGAATCTACAAAACTCAACTGAGTCACACTGGGTTTTCAGAAACACATCTGTTTTAAGAATTTATTCCTTCAAGCATTATCTTGTGCGTTTGTAATCACTAATGCAGGACACGACTAGGTCTATTATAGTAATAAAAATCTTCCAAATAGTTGGGGTAAATTCAACATTTCACTATTTTAGGTATTTGCCTCTTACACAAATCCTACCACCAGAGGAAAAAGGCAGCAGCCTTCCACTGTTTCCAACACCCACTTCCAGGAGAATACCTTTTTAAAAAATGCTTACTGTGATTTTCCAAGTACATTTGCTATTTGGAGGGTACACTCCAGGAAAACCTTCACTGCCAATAAATCCAGACTCTCCAGTAAGAATGCCGCCACATGTGAAAACAGGTCTGGGAAGATAAGGAGGAAAAGATATGTAATTTTAAAAATGGTCTAACAATCTGATGATACGTTCAGAAAGGTGTAGCATATTAATATAAATAAAAGTTAATGTAGATTAATCAATGCTTGTACCATATAAGGGATCCGAAAGCTTGCTAGCTCTTAGAATATTTAAATTATAGCCTGATAAAGCATTCAGTCCAGCTGCCATATGTCGCCATCATAATAACACAAGATTTTATATTTATAATCAAGTCCTCGGTATTGTGGCAATGTCTTGTAGGAAAATAGTAAATACATCCATTTAACTGGGGGGAGTGGGAGAGAAGGTAACAGCCAGGCTGAATGAGGAGCATGGTTTTAAAGAAAGATAGGCAAGCAATTGGTTAATATAAAAAAGTTTGACGTTCCCATATTTGGAGAGATTCCCAGTTCTCCTCCCCCTTTCTGAAATCACTGGCCATCAAAAGGGAGGCTGATGTTGATGGAGGTTGAAGAGGTGATGCCATGGGGTGGGTCCCACAGCCCAGCTCCTGGGGCCGTCCGGAGGTTGGCGAAGAGTTAACTTTCCGGAGCGGCTCCGTCGGCGCCGTGCCGCTAGGGTTGTTCCCTAGTTTACGCCTCCGGGCAAAGCCTCTCGGGGAAGAAAAAAAAAAAATCCCCAGCGGCAAACCAGAGTCCACATATTTGGGCCCCAGTGCTTCCCTCCACCCCCACAGACCTGAGGAGAGAGGAGACACAAGTCAGTTAAACCCCGCCACGTGGTGGCCAAGCCAGCTGCAGAGCCATCCGTCAGGCCGGGCTGGGAAGCCAGGAGGGAGCCCCGAGAGCAGGGATGGGTCCCGAGGTCCCAGGCTCAGCCCACGCGGGGATGGCGGGCGCCTGCACCGCGCGGGGAGCGCAGGGTCTCGCGCTGGGTCACCCAGGCGCGCCGAAGCGGGCTGAGTAAAGCAGCTGGCGAGACAGCAGGAGTGGAGGAAGGGAGGAGAGAGAGAGGGAGCCCGGGCCGGGGTCGCGTTACCTCTCAGGGGACTGCTGCCGCGAGAGCTGGGTGGCGGCGGCCAGCAGCAGGCAGAGCGGCGCCCAGGCGTTCGCGCCCCTCATGGCAGCGTAGACGCTCGGGGTTCGCACCCCGCGGCGCGCGTCGGCACACACGCCCCTCCGCGCCCACCTCGCTCACACCGCCGCTCACACTGGCAGCAGCGCTGGCTCACACCGGCGCTCAGCGGCCCGCGCGCTCCCTCTCACGCGCGCACCGCCGCGAAGCGGCCCAGGTAGCCGGGGAGTGCGCGGCCGGCTGGGCGGGGGCTCTTTTAAAGGCGATTACGGTGCAGTCTGACTTGACGCTTGATTTCCCCTGAGGAGCTGCTCTGGCAGCCACAGACCAGTGCTGAATATCCCGTTTGTTCTCCGGCGGCAGGAGGGGCGGCTCCGAGGCCAGAGCCGCCCCCTCTCTTGGGACGGGCGGGCGTCTCCTCCCGGCACCCCGGGACCCACGGGTCGTCTCGCGTCCTGCCCGCAGGGACCCCAGAGAGAAGAGGAATCCCTTGCGGAGTGGTACCACGGCGGTCCGGGCCCCGACGCCCACAGACGATTCTCAGAGAGGGCTTCTGGGTTTGCTTTGGGGAATGTTTTTCCCAGTGGCTTTTAAATAAAAAGTAATCGCGCGTGCCGGCTGCTGGAAAGCCTGGGGGTCCTTCTTTGTCTCCTTCAAAACCCAGATCCAAGGAAAGAAAGGGGAAAGGAGAAGAGGGATTCTATCATATTTTAACTCCTGTGCTTATTCTCTTCTCTCTCTCTCTCTCCAGATTCTTTTGTTTTCACTGGTGTGACAATGACAGGGGAGATTGTCTCTGTGCCGGGATTTAAACATGGGTTCTCAGGTGAGCGACTTCTGTGTGAACTGTCATTAAATGTCAAATAATGAGGACGAAACCAAATCAGCAAATCTCACCATCCCATGTCATGTTCTGAAAATGGTGTTTCTCTGTTCTTAGACCTTCCCAACAACTTCTTTCTGTAGAGGGGTTAAAATTAACGGAGAATTTGTTTTTCTTAGAAGAACAATTCTAGCCTTGTGGAATTAACGATCTCTTTTACTTAATTACAGAAATACAATTTTAAACAATTATTTTGTTAAGGGCTTCCTAATAACCAGGGATTAATAAAAGAATAACAAGAACAGGGTAGGTTCATTGAGATTTTCAGTAATCACCAGCCATGGGAAATGCAACTTAACTTTGATGCCTCCTTTGTGTTGTTCCTTCTAAATTGCTCTCACGTTTCTAAGCAAGAAAATTAAGTATTAAAGCAGTACTTACCAAGACTTCATTTTTAATAATGAGCTGTTAAGAACCTAAACTCCGCTGGCAAGGAAGTAAGTACAACTGGCTATAGGAAATATTCTGACTTTTCATAGTGAGGACACCCTGAAGCCTATACTAGGAACCAGAATATACCGACAGGACTTAGATTACCTTAACATTTTTTTGAAAAAGTGAAGGGAAAAACATCAAACAACAACTTTTAAAAATTCTCTAAAGGCACCACACCCTGTATGACATTAAAAAAAAAAAGGATGACAGAATTTGGCAAACTGCTTTATATCCTGAAACACCCTCAACCCAATAAAAATGCCTTTAAAACAGCGAAGAGGAGAATAAATGGTTGTTTATTTTGCACGAATTTCAAGACTACACTATCTAATAGCCTAAGTGTTTTTAGGTGATTGTTTATTCGAAAGTAATAATTTTAAAGTGAAAATATTGCTCAATTCACTTTCTGGTAATGATTTGTAGTCCTCGTAAGCCAGAAAATACTTCATTCAGAACTAAGCTAAGTTTTCAAAATTTAAAAAAACAAAGTATTAAATGTGTCTAAATAGATAGGAAACTATTTGGACTAAAATACACAACCATTTCTTGATTTGTAGATTGATAACTGTGTTCATACGCTCACTAAAGAGTTAGGAGTTTAACACCAATCATTGTGTTGTTGACACTCATAAGAAAGACGTTGATTTTACCATGTGATTTTAGAATTTACTAAGACCATATTATTTGCTCTTAAAAACACATATTTGACTTGGAACTACAACTCTGACCAAAATTATAAACCTTAAATGTCCTGAAAATTTGATGTGTTAAAATTGAGAGAGAATAGTATTAGTTTGTTCTCACACCGCTATGAAGAAATATCCGAGACTGGGTAATTTATGAAAAAAAGAAATTTAATTGACTCACAGTTCCACATGGCTGGGGAGTCCTCAGGAAATGTACAAGCATGGCAGAAGGCAACTCCTCACAGGGTGGCAGTAGAAGTAGGGAAGCCCCCTTATAAAACCGTCAAATCTCATTTGGGGATTATTACAATTCAAGGTGAGATTTGGGTGAGGACACAGCCAAACCATATCAAGACTCAAGTGTACTTTGAAGGTATGTGTGAGGTCCATCTCTGTGAGACCAGTTTCTGGACTTTTGTGATACAGAATTAGTATAATGGGACAGGGAGCTACAGAAACCCAGACAGTAGGAAAGTGGAGAGAGAGAAAGAACAAAAGTCCTGTGGATAGATTCTTTAAAAAAAAAAAAAAATAGAGTGGTAAGTGAACTGATACTTATTATTCAGTCTCTGTAGTTACCAGGTTGCACAGGGAATCAACAACATGAGAATATGAAAATATTCACTAATAAACTGACCACTTATGAAATTAGGCCCCACTCAAACATTCTTTGCTGCATAATGCTAGCATCTAGCTGGGCCCAATATGTCAACATCATTGTCAGTTAATCTCTGGTTCCTTCATCAACCTTGTAAACATCTGAAAATGCAATGTAAATCCAGTAAACATTCATTCCATGGTGCGATACTCATCTTATTAAAAAACCCAGAATTTTTATAGGTTAGTTTACTCTGGGCATAGTGACTCAGGCCTGTAATCCCAGCACTTTGGGAGGCCAAGGCAGGAGGGTCACTTAATCCCAAGAGTTCAAGACCAGTCTGGCCAACATGGTAAAACCCCGTCTCTACTAAAAATACAAAAATTAGTTTGGCATAGTGGTGGGCACCTGTAAACCCAGCTACTTGGGAGGCTGAGGCATGAGAATTGCTTGAACCCAGAAGGTGGAGGTTGCAGTGAGCCGAGATTGTGTCTCTGCATTCCAGCCTGGGCGACATAGCGAGATTCCGTCTCAAATTTTAAAAAAAGTTCAATGTTTTTTGATGTCTGCAAGCATACATTAGGAACAAAAGTAGACCTTCCCCTTTCCCCCACCCCACCCCAATATACCTCTCTGCCAAGAATAAAATGTTAGAGAGGAATTGTACTGGTCAGGTTTCTTAGCTACAAACAACTGAGTCCACTCAGAATGAGTCCCCTCTTCTGGTTCAAGCCGTAAAAGCAGAAAGTTCACATTACCATCAAGAGAATCATAAAAACAGTCTCCAGGCTAGTTTTCCTGGAATAATAGCCAAAATCTCACCTCAGAAATGGCCAGTGAGAAATCTGTTGCCATTATTGGCACCAAGACTAAGCACTAAATGCAGGTACTTGAACTTAATGCAGTCGCCACTGTTGTGAGCACTTTGGATACATTTCTGCCTTGGGAAATTCAGCCTTGCCACACTCCTGCCTTAAAAGCCAGACACCCTGTTGTCTCCCACAGAATAAGAGCTCATCAAACAACCTTTTCGCTCACAGAGATCTCTTGATCAAACTCTCATGCAAGCCTATATGATTGGTACTGTCCACGTCACATGACCTGCAGTGTCTCAGCTGCAAGGGAGGCTGGAAATTCAACACTATTAGGAAATGAGGTCACATAATGTGGAAATGTCTCCAAATATTAAAAGGCCACTAAAACAAAATGGGCAGCACAAGTATGATTAATGTCCATGATAGGGATCTACAAAGTTCAATTAGCTTGTCTCCCTGCATCCCTTTGCTGAGGAAAGCAGCCCCAAGGAGGTCTTGATAGATGAAGTTACAGAGTTAGTAGGATGTGTTGAATGAAACCAGTCCCCTCACCTGTCCACGTTGGACTGGGTCAGGCATTTTGTTTGAGTCAAAGGTAACCACATGAAACCTGGCCAAGCTGAACACAAGGGAATCAGCTGCTTCTTGTTGATGTGGAATGAAACTTTGTCCAGTGGAGTCCCTCCATAATGAATCATCATTATCATCATCATATCTGACTTTTACTGAGCATTTATTATATGCCTGGAACTATGCTAAGTACTTTACAAACAACATTTTGTATAATTCTCTTAACAAACTTATGGGGTAAGAACAAGTATCACCATTTTACAGGTGAAGATTTTGAGATTTATAGAGATTAATCACTAATCCAAAATCTTTTTTTTTCTTTTGAGACAGGATCTTGCTCTATTGCCCAGGCTGGAGTACACTGGGGTGATCATGGCTCACTGCAGCTGGGACCTCCTGGGCTCAAGCAGTCCTCCCATCTCAGCCTCCTGAGTAGGTGGGGCTACAAGCATGTGCCACCACACCAGGCTTATTATTATTATTATTATTATTATTTTGAGAAGGAGTCTTACTCTGTCACCCAGGCTGGAGTGCAATGATGTGATCTCAGCTCACTGCAACCTCCACCTCCTGGGTTCAAAAGATTCTCCTGCTTTAGCCTCCTGGGTAGCCAGGATTATAGGCACCCACCACCACACCTGGCTAATTTATATATTTTCAGTAGAGTTGGAGTTTCACCATGTTGGCTAGGCTAGTCTTGAACTCCTGACCTCAAGTGATCCACCTGCCTTGGCCTCCCAAAGTGCTGGGATTACAGATATGAGCCATGGTGCCTGGCTCAGTTTAATTTTTTTTTTTTTGTAGAGACAGAATCTCACTATGTTGCCCAGGCTGGGCTTGAACTCCTGGGCTCAAATCAATCCTCCTGACTTGGCTTCCCAGAGTGCTGGGATTACATGTGTGAGCCAACATGCCTGGCTTTAAGACCTATAATATACAAGTAAAAAGCTGGGGGAAAAAATGCTGAAGGTTGGGCACAGTGGCTTAGGCCTGTTATCCCATCACTTTGGGAGGCAGAGGTGGAAGAATCACTTGAGCCTAGGAGTTTTACACCAGCCTGGGCAACACAGCAACACCCTGTCTCTACTAAAAAAATGTTTTTGTAATTAGCAAGGAATGGCGGTATGTCCCTGTAGTCCCAGCTACTTGGGAGGCTGAGATGGGAAGATCACCTGAGCCCAGGAGGTCAAAGCTGCAGTGAGTTACAATCCTGCTGCTGCACTTCAGCCTGAGTGACAGAGTGAGTTCCTGTTTAAAAAAAAAAAAAAAAAAAAAAAAAGCTGGGATCTGAACCCAGGCTAACTGGAAAACTCAAGGTTTTCATCAATACTGCATGTTAATCCATCAGAGCATTCAGGAATGCTCAGTACACATGGAGACGGCGTGAACAGACATATGCTGTTTATCTACTCAGGATCCCTGCCTTGGGGAGCCACCCTTCCCTGTGCCATGTGGTTCTGTGAGCACTGATTCCATTCACTGCTTCTCTAGCCCCCAGTGGGACATGTGACCAGGGGCTGTCCAATCCGAGAGCTCTCCTTACGACTCTGGAGCTGTTGTATAAGAGGTCCTTTCCTCTTCTTCTGGAAGCAGCACGTAAGGAAATATTTTCCTGAGAAAGGAGGACCAAGCCTGAGGTGAATGCTTCAGAACAACAGGCCACCCCACTTCCACATGGCAATAAGCCTCTAAGAATTTGGAAAAGACTGTTGAGAGAACCCAGGATTCTACCATGTCATATGGAGACAACTTGGGTGTGAGAAGAGCTATGAGGACAAGTGTTAAAAAATATTACCTTGACCCTAAAAAAAAAATCTCAACATGTGGGCCGTTGATGGTAATGAGGACCATGGAGTAAGAAGTTCTGCTAGCAACAATACCAAATCAACCCAAAACTTCTTGGAATTGTATTATTATGTTGACTTTTGGGGATGAATCTTTGCCTATAAAAATGATTTGTATGAACTGTAGGTAATAGATATCTTTTTGGTTGTTAGGTATACTCATCATATTTAAAGAACCTCATCCAACAGATTGAACCATTTAGCTGATTGGATGCTTTTGCAGCTAATTCATCTGGCTTTCTCACCAAGACTCAGTGTTACTCATAACTATGAGTGGTGTTAAGATGGTAGTTGTCTGCAAGGCAGGCAGTGCAATAAGGCCACTGGGGGAAGTGCTGGGATGTTAAAAATGAGGGAATGCCACCAAGACTGGCTGCTAACAAGGGGCCAGGAGTCCAGAGCAAGAAATATCAAAATTACCAGAGGATATCAGCCCAGATCCCTTTTTTCCCCCAGAAAATCTTGGGATCCCTGTGCTCTCCTCACTCACTGATTCTCAAAGCTTGGGGCAAGAGCTTGGCGTCAGTGCCTGAACCATAACCCACACCAAGAAAGGACACTGAAGCTCTCTCCAGTTTTGCTCTGTGGGCTTCCATCATTATTAACCATCTCTTCTTCTTTTTGTTTTCAAGTAAAAATTTCCTTAAGTATCAAGGAAGTACCTGCTCCTTATGTAAAATCTGGAAACTATTTAAAAAAGAAAAAAGAAAATGACTCTTAACTTTGCCACCTAAAGACAATACTAGTGCCACTTCAGTCCTCTTTCTTTCCAATGTCTCTTCTGTGATAAAAGTATTATCCAGGGATTTGAAGAGTTTGTTTTAGTTCCAAGTTCTTCTGGTTCTTTACTTTTGGAAAAGCCACCAATTAAAAAAAAAAGCAATGATAATGATTTTAGTGTCAACATGACTGTAATAAGAGACTGTCTTAGAATGATGACTTCCCCAGAGGAATGATAGTGGATCTTTTTCTGTCTTAGCTCCATTCACAAGTAACTTCCTGTTTACTCACTGGTCTTCTAAACTGCCAATTGGAGAACACCATTCTAATCATTGGCAGAGATAACAGTCTACCTCAATTCAAATTGCTGTTTATTTGTTCCTCAAGGAAAAGATTTACATTCATTAGTCACTAAACAATTGAAATAAAAGAGTTTGTATTTCCCCTGTGAACTGGTTATGTGTTACAAGATTGCTTAAGGGTTATGCTTCTGAAAAAGTAAGCTAACTCCTAAAAGGCATTATCCAAATAAATGTTATATGCAAGCAGTCTTTAGAACTATGAGACTGTGTAATTTACATTCTTTAAAGTTTTGAGCTTAACAGAGAACTGCAAAATTTACATATATACGTGAACATACATGTGTATATATTACACGTATATGTATATATGCGTATATGTGTATTTATACATGGCTATGAACACAGTCCTAAAACCATTGTATTAATAAAACTAGTTAAATGTATGTGCCCTGCGTCCTTTATCCTCAGAATTCTGAAAATTTTTAAGTCTTATAAATGCTTTTAAAAAATCCCAACATAAGCCTTATTTTCCTAAGAAACAAGTAGAACCTTGAATATGTATTTTTTTCGCTAAGATAGTTGCAAAATAGCTACATGGGAAAGCATCATTCTAAGTAAATTCTAAATGAAGCCAAAATGCTTGAATATCAAACTATATTTATTGTGGGTATTAAATGTTTATTAATTTTAAAAAACCACAAGGGACTTACCCGTTTGATTGAATTTGATAGGATTATAACTCTTCATGGAGACAAGAGCTTTTTCTCAGAGACACTGGAATTGATGCTTCTTAACAGAGGGATATTTGACAGATGCTAATGACAAGCATATCCTGGCCCACTGTGTAGGACTAATTGTACAAATGGGAAGTTGGAGCAACGGAAGCACTGTCTCTGCCTAGAGCTGGCAGTTGTCTCTGTTTTCTCAATTGGTAATGTTTCCATTGGCTGTATCTAGAGAATTTTTTGTGTGTTTCATTTTCCTTTTACCTTGGAGGCATATTTAAGTATTATTTGTAGGTACTAGATATTCTGAGAAAAATAACAGGCATATGAATATATGTGTAATATACATATTACTTTCTATGTATTTGAATTTATGCATAGTAGAGATGGATATATGTATAAGTGTGTGTATGCATCTGTGTATGCATATGTGTCTCTCCCAGACAATGCTGGAGACACACGCAAATTTTCACTCTTTGAAACTCCTTTCTCTAAATTCCAGACTGACCACCCGTTTCTGCCTACAGATTTTCCTTCTAATGGTATGGCTTTTTTTTTTTTTTTTTTTACATTCACTAATGCTTGATTAGATTTTTCAGTCTCAGCTAATCCAAAAATCATTCATTTTCCCTCCCTCCCTCTATTTCCCCCTCCTTTCTTCCTTCCACAAGTTATCAAGAGCGTGCTGTATGCCAAGTGCTGTACCAGGCACTATAGATAACAGTATTGGTTAGAAGAGATCTGGCTCCTGCCCTTACTATTGAGAATGCTCTTTAAGGTTATTTCTTCAATTAGTCTCATTCATTTTGTATTTTGTTGGTTTAGGTCTTCTGAGAAGCAGACACCAGGACAGAATTTGATTCTGCAAAAGATCAATGTGCAAGAGATATATCAGGGGAAATGTCTATGGAGGACAAAGGTAAGAAGAACCATGAGTAGGTGGGGAGCCTCTAACTGCAATGCAGGTCTGACACCTGTGAGAGGAGTTAGGGAAAGAAGGGGGTTTGGGCTGGAAGTGCTTCAGATCATAGTGCTGCCCTGAGTAAAATCTTGGCCAGGACAATGTGGAGCTCCAGCAAAGATGGCCTGCTAGAGGAGACTTGTGTTGGGGAGGAGCCACCTGGCCCTGGTGCCTCTGCCTTGTTCAGTCATTGGCTGAGCAGCCTGGCTAGAGTATGGGTTGGCATGTGTGATGCAGCAGATCCCAGGAGTGTGGCAGATGGAGGCTGCCAGCTAATGACAGTCCTTTGGCGGATTCTGTCTTGGAGGAGATCTATGTGGTATACTCCCATGGCTGTCACATGGGTGGATTTTAGGGTTTTATTCTCAGAGGCAACTTTATTTTCAAATTCTCAGTATAGGTGGAAGTAGAGTGGGAGTAAAAGAAACACTTCATTGCTGCCCCCAGTAAGACTACAGCCATCAAGAATTGAACTTTGTGACACTCACAGGAGTTTATACTTGAGTGCTTCTCGGGTTTATGAGGGAGGTCACTACGTTGGGTTATTTCAGTACTCTATTGAAAGTATATGTGGAATGTCGTGGCCCTTACTGGCATCACAAATCTAGGGATATCTTTGGACTGCATTTCTCCTTTTCTTAAAACAAAACAAAACCTCCTACACTGTGATTAACAGCAAAAGACTTGTAGCAGAGGAAAATAAAAATCAAGTGTCTTAGTCTGTTTGGACTGCTATAACAAAAATACCATATACTGAGTATCTTATAAACAATACACATCTCTTTCTCACTGTTCCAGAGACTGGGAAGTTCCAGATCGAGGTGCTGGCAGATTCTGTGTCTGGAGATTGCCTGTTCCTCATAGACAGCCCCTTCTCACTGAGTTCTCACATGGTGGAGGGGCAAGGCAGCTCTCTGGAGCCCCTATTTATTTACTTGATTATTATTTTTTTGAGACAGAGTCTCACTTTGTCACCCAAGCTGGAGTACAGTGTTGCAAACACTGCTCACTGTAGCCTCAACCTCCCAGGCTCAAGCAATCCTCCCACCACAACCTCACAAGTAGCTAGCTAGGACTAAAGGCACACACCACTACTCCTGGCTATTTATTTTTATTTTTGCTTTTTGTAGAGGTGGGTTTTTGCCATGTTGCCCAGGCTGGTCTTGAACTCCTGAGCTAAAGCGATCCTCCTGCCTTGGCCTCCCAAAGTACTGGGATTACAGGCATAAGCCACTGTGCCTGGCCTGGGACCTCTTTTATGAGGACACTAATTCTATTCATGAGGGCTCCACCCTCATTCCCTAATCACCTAAAGGACCGATCCCCTCATGCCATCACCCTGGGGATTAGGATTTTCACATGTGAATTTTTGGGGGACATAAGCATTCAGACTACAACACCAAGCAGGAAAAATGAATTTAAAAAGAGAAACTACAAAACCATGTGATTTTCTCCAGAGTCATTATGCAACTGCACTTGACAGAACCCTTCTCCACATTGTCATCTCATCAAAGATAGCTCTAGCAGATCTGAAAACTTAAGCAGTTCAAAGTATCTTACCCAGAAACATGCCAGGTAAATAACTCTCTACCTTCCAAATTATTACCACCAAACAAATTTTGTAATAGCAAAACCAACAATTAACTGAACTTTTCAGGGCAAAAGAAAATAAAGGAATCAGTAAATGTTCAAGTGGGTAGTATTCAGATAAAGATCTGGTAGTTGGACATTTTTTTTTTTTAAATCTCTCCAAAAAGCACTACAGTAATGAAATAAACTTTCTTCTTGGCTTCCGAAAAAGGAAATTAGACACAGTTAGTAGCCAAAAAGGTGATCAGATCCTCTAAAATTATTGTTTGTTCTCTATTTTTCTTGAAGTTGAATCTCCACTTGTCCAAAAAACTAGCTCTATTATGTTCATTTTGAAACATAATGATGATGACTTTTAAAATTGTTCTAAGAAACAGTAAATTCCAACACTTAAGTATAGCACAGCTAGTTGTCTAGATGCTGTCCAATACAGTAGCTACGGCATCTAGATAATTAGCTGTGTTACACTAAGTGTTGGAATTTACTTTTTCTTAGCTACATGTGGCTATTTAAACTTACATTAATTAAAATAAGGTTTAAAAAATTAGTTCCTCAGTTGTACTAGTCAGATTTCAAATGTCCCAGGAGCCACAGTTACTGGACAGTGCTGATCCAGATGAAGGACTGGACTTTTAAGTTAAATTAGCTGGTATACTGGATAGTCAAACAGCTTCTCACTTATAAATGGTTAAACCATGAGTTCGACCTTAGCAAATGCTTTTAACTTCTCTCTTTGCTATGAGAACTCCTTTCCTTCTTCCCTTGGTCCTTCCTTCCCTTTATCAATTGTGCAGCATGTATAAATCTTACAGTTATAGATGAAGATGTCTCAGAAATGGAACTTTCTTTATTCCTCTATAACTGAAATTAAACCATCTCTCAAGCCCCATATAGCAGAAAACCTATTCTTACTAATTGACTCTAAACTAAATCATTTCCAGATTCTTCTCAGTTTATTTTGGATACTAACTCAGGCAATTCAGTCATATCCTGGGTTGGTATGCTTCCCATCTCTTCCCCTTCTCCAAGGGGCGATCTTATGTATTCATGACCTGATGCATTCATTCATCAAATATTTATTGAGTTCCTCTTATGCACCAGGAACTACATTAGTGGGGGGCATGGCAGTACAGAAGACAAAGTTCTTGCTCTTCTTGAGGAGCATGTGTTCCAATGGGAAGATGGACAATAAGGAAGCAAACAAATACATGAAAAATATCTTCAGTGATAAAAACTCTGTAGAGAATTAAAACAATGTGGTATGCTAAAGAGGCCTGGGTGAGCAGGGAGTCCTTACTGTGGTAGTATTTAAAATGAGAGCTGAACAGTAAAATAATAAGAAAGGGAAAAGAGCCCTTCAAAAGGGAACAGCAAGCACAAAGACTCAAGTCGACAGTGAGAAAGGGCTTGCAAGGTCTCCAGCCACCAGCAAAGGGGATACTGCCTCACCTTTGAATGAATCTGCCTTAATAAGAGGGGGACCTGGGCAACTAGAAAATTCTAGGAAAAAAAATCAATATTAGAGTTATATTATACAAAAATAACAATTCTTTGATAAACTTGTACATTCATTACCTTTTTTATTCCATTCCTTGCCTTGCTTATTTTTGGTTTTTAGTAGAAAATAAAAATGATAGAGAAAAGCCTAAATAGAGCTTGCTGATAGCTTAATTTGAAGGAAGAGACAAGAGGACCCTTTTTCTTTGATGAGAGCATTGTGTTTCTTTCCTCAATTGAGCAACCAAAAAGACGTCAAATATCACGGAGTTGTTTGGGACCTTCTTTATGTTTTAAAGACGTGTCACAAATAAGTGAATTAATGTACTTCTTATATTCTTAAAAAACTTTTTATTCCTTGAGGATATATCATGTATCCATTCCATTCATCCATCTGTCTTTTCATCCACCTGTTGGGCAAATTTAATTGAGCATCCAAAGGTGAGCTCCTTTTCCAGTCAGTCTTCTGTGATTTCTTCAGCCCTCATTTATCTCCTTTCCCTCAGAATCTCTATAGCTCTTTCTTCACACTGCATAATTTAGCACCTTATGATGTTTTAATGTACATTATCCATTCTGATCATCACAAAGGTGGCAAGAATTAGACAGGATAGATATTGCTGTGTTCCCATTTTGCTAATGACCAGAGTATTGCCATGGCCCAGAGTACTGACATACATGAATATTCTGTTCTTCTGGTAAATATGCATCTGCCTACTTTCTTACAAAGTTAAACATGTATTTTTGACTTGGAGATCCCATTCCTAGGTATTTGCCCAAAAGAAATAAAAACATATGTCCCCACAAACACCTGTACACAAATGCTGATTGTAGCTTTATTCATAACAGCTAAAAGCTGAAATAGACCAAGTGTTTATCAATGGAATAGATAAACAAGCTGTGGTATATGTGTACAATGGAAAGTATTATGCTGGCTGGGCTAGGTGGCTTATGCCTGTAATCCCAGCACCTTGGGAGGCCGAGGCTGGTGGTACACTTGAGGTTGGCAGTTTGAGACCAACCTAGCCAACATGGTAAAACCCCATCTCTACTGAAAATAGGAAAATCAGCCAGGCGTGTGGTGGCTGCATTTGTAATCCCAGCTACTTGGGAGGCTGAAGCAGGAGAATTACTTGAACCGGGGAGGCAGAGGTTGCAGTGAGCTGAGATCACGCCACTGCACTCAAGCCTGGGCAACAGAGCGAGATCTCCAACTCAAAAACAAACAAACATATATGTGTGTGTGTGTGTGTGTGTGTGTGTGTGTGTATGTCCACCATGTCTCACACACACACACACACACACACACACACACACACACATACATACATATATATATATATATATATATAACTGAGGTGGCCCTACCTGTGACTTGGCCTTGGTAAACACTGGAACAGAGGGTTGGAGTTGGTGGTAGAGGAGAGAAGGAAGCAGGGACTATGTCCAGGTCTGTGGCTAAGCCAGGACTCCTGGAGAGTCGGAGAGCCTCTCAAGACTGCAGCACTTTCTGGCTCCCTTCAGAGGTTGAGGCTGAGGCTCTCCAGTGGTAAGGAAGTGAAAATTTTCCCAAAGTTTGGACTCCAGAGAAGATGGCTGCTTACAAGTGAGATGACTGAAATCGGTCCTTCTGGAGAATCTGATTTTGTGCTGGTCACTTGGAGCCCTATGGTGTTGAGCTGCTGATTTCTGGTCACAGCAAGAATGGTGCTAAAATGAAGATCTGTTTTCAATGCTCTTTTCTTGTAAGAACAGTGCCTAGATTGTCCTTCTGGACCCTTAGAGCAAGTTGTCCCGGTGAGGACAGCTCCACCCATCTCTACATGGGCACGATGACTCAGGCCACAGTTAATCAGAACTCCATCTCGCCTCGCCACAGGGATTTCTTCTG